GGACGATGCAAAGTGATTTAANGTGTATAAATATGCTTTTGTTTCTTTTTTGAATTACTCCTTATATGAAACTTAATGAAATTTGTATTATTTTTGATAATTACTATTACTAATCAGAGTAATAATTAAAAGAAGTCTTTCATTTTCATAATTTATTTCTATAATATTTTTTTCTATTTGTTCATGCAATTTTGTGTTGGAAAAAAAGATCTACAGTTGTAGACTAAATATTCTTTATCAATCACTTGATCCTCAATGTGTATATAATATCAGTGACGATAATCATGAAAACAGAATCAATCAGTTAATGTATATAGTGCTGTGAACGTTTTTCATTTTTTTATAAACTAAAAAGCTTGTATAAATGACGTGAAGTGATTTCAAAGAAAATTGTACTTCAAAGCTATTCGTCAAAGCACTGTACAAAATTTCAATTCCGACTGAAAGTAGGAAACTGATACAGAAAAACATTCTAAACTTTTGACTTATCACATAAATAAACCATGAAGAACTCAAATATCACTTATCTTTTACTAAGTCAGCCACTTCTCCAGTGATTTCGATTGACCATTTATTATTTATTAAGAAAAAATCATCTATCTATTTAGTTTCTATTTGAATTTAGAATTAAGAGCATAAGTTGATTATTTCATTGTTTTGTACTATTTTTAAATATGTATGTTACAGTTGAAATGAGACTTTAGTTAAGTTTGAAATAAACAAAGTAATTGAAATGCAAACAAGATCTTCTAAATAAGGTATATTTCAGCTCAAATTTATTTCAACATACAATGTATATCATTTCTATTTGAATCTAACCAAAAAGCATTTTGACATATAATTTAAGTAGATTTGATTGTTTTACGATATAGATTGAGTAAATCAATTACTCATTGATTGCTATGGTTGTTAATGATAGAAGTAAATCGAATTTGTTTAAATCAAAGGACGTTAGAGTCTTTGTTTCACTCAATGCCGCACATAGAAATTTAGCTGCATTAACAGTATTTCTTCAGGAAAAATTCTTTGAACACTATTATAACCTTCAAACGTACAAAATTGAAAGAAAAAATATTCCATTACATTTTTATGTGATATTATTAATTTTTACGACAGTATTAGCAGTTGTTTTTCGCTGTCATAAATAAAGAGATAGTATAATAATATAGTTTGAGAAAAATAATAGAACAGAACGTATGCCAGAGTGAAATTTCGCTTAATTGTTATTGAAAATGATCTGTTGAGAATAATACTTTACCTATTGTCATCAGAAGTCAACTCAGAAACAATATAAAATATTCATTTCTTCTTTGAGAAATATTGTCATCGATATAATATAATTAAAGATAAATTGCATCATTATTCAAATATCTTTATGAAAACAAATAACATTTACCTAACTTTTGACTCCTCTTGTCTGTCTTGAAATGCGTTTTACACAGATAATACCTATATATCATCTATGTTTGGTAAAATTACGTGATTCGCAACAACAATGATCTTGAATCATTTTCATGATGCATTTCTTTTCTGTTCCCATGTAACCGTCAAACACATTTTAGGTGCAACTCGATACACCAATCACTTTGTTTCTTGAACGCGTTTAGAGAAGCTTAATTAGTTTCGGAACTATTTTTAGACTAAACGCACACAAACGCATTTTTATTTTTATTTTAGAACGCGTTGGGACGCATGCATGGCATTTTATGTCTCTGACGATGTTTAATGGTTAAAAGAAGCTATCTTTCTTTCAGTGAATACTATCTAATTGACAGGATCGAAAAAATGTGTTTCATAGGATGCATCTGTAAATGAATCGAATTTGTTAAAACACGTTCGAATGCATTGCTTTTTGAAACGTAGTTGAATATATAGTTAGTTTAGTTAGTGCAAATAAATACTTAAAAAGGAAATTGTATCTGTACAAAAATGTGTTCATGAGTCCAGTGTGCTGTATCTTCGTTGGAATGTTATTGTGATTGGAGGAAATACTGTGTGTGATGACATTAAGTGTAGACGATAGTAGCTCAAAGCAAAAGGTTACTTTTGTAATTTATTTAGATAAATATATGAGCTTTCTATTAACTTAGTTGAACAAGAATAAGAAGCTGAAGTATTCGTCTATGAATGGTTCTTTATGACATAGATGTCAAGAGGAATAATTTTGACAAATATCTCTTTAAGCTTTCAATTGGTGAAGATTATCTTGTTTTCGTTATTTCTGTGTGTAGTAATTCAGAATTTCACAAACTAATCTAATTTTATAATAGAGACCGAAGTAGTAGATTCTACATGAAAATCTATCTAATTTTATTGACATTAGAATAACTAGATGATATTCTTTTTACTGCTCATGTATTCATAATTAGACTCTTAATACGTACCTGATCGTCTATAAACGCATTGTAACTTAATGCGTTCAAAAAACCAAACATGTCAATACTGACCCATGCTAAAAACAGATTAACAGGTGCTTTTGTGCTTTTCTACGTTACGACACTGTTATAAAATAAATGCATTTACTTTATTCTCAAAAAATAAGCATCAGTATGTATCGAAATCGAACCGAATTCTAATATTCAGACTGCAGCTCTATCATTAAAATTTATCCAAGTTAAGTTTGATTTACTAGATTGATTATATTAAATGAGTAATTCTATCATAATTGATTGTTATTTACATATCTCTTATTGAAAATATTAAACTGTTGACAAAACTGTATGTCTCGTTTTACATTACTTCTAAAACGTTTCGAGATATGCATGTGGTAAATTATAATCTTAAATCTTTTGTTATAAACTTCATCAGCTCTTACCTATACAAACGAATAAATTATATAAGTATGTTACCTTTATATTCAACTATTTCATTGTATTTGAGTTTCACAATCACTTTTTCACATAGACTTGTTGGTTTATCTTTATTGTTACTTATAACGAAGAACAAATGAAAATAAAAATTCTTTATTTATGCAATAAAGATAAATACAAGAAAAAATTTCATTATTTTAAAAATGCCGAAGATAGTTTAAAAAAATAAAAGGCTTTTTAAATGAAAAATCAATACTTTATTTGTTTGAGATGCCTAAAAAACTTTGATATCATAATTATGATATTACTAAGTAAGAAAAATAGTTAATTATTGCTGTTCTAAAACATATCTGTACATTTATTTATCACAGAGGGAGATTTTTCTTTATTTTGTAATTTTTATTTTCTATCTTTGTTTTATAAATATAAAGAATATATTATATTTGATTTGATGAAGATAAATAGCTTATGTTTATTTCGCAAAGTAAAGATTAAATCAACATATCTATTTTGAAATTTTTGACAAGAAATGTCAAACGAGCTATTGTTGCGATTTATGAACATAGAAACGATTTCTAGCTGTGCATAGCTCAAAGTTAGTTGTATTCGGTTTGAAATCGACTGATCGTGAGTTCAAATCTTGGCTGAAACTGTCGTTGGAAAAATCACCTCTCTGTTGCTCACAGAATTTCAATGTTATATCGTAGTTCGCTAGGGTGTGCCGGCGCGATTTCAACACAGAGTGATGGTTATTTTTGAATTCTTGTTGGGGAAAAAAGTAGCCGCGTCAAAACGCGCTTGCTCACTGTAAATGCTTGCAGATTTTCGCAAATGTTCCATTTTGGATACGTTCAAACGTGTCAAGTAGAACAACTTATAGACGCTCAGAGACGCATCTAAAGTCTAAAAATGGTTAGATTTTCTGTTTTTTTCCTAAGTTAAGTTTTGATTGAAAATGAAGAAATTTAAATTTGATAAAACTAATTAATCTATATTCATGATCTTTATTAGCAATATATTTAATGCAATGAACAATATGACTTGAAAAAACATATTTACTGTCATATCTAAACATAAAATTATTGTATTTTATAAAGAAAACTATTAAATATTTCATGAAATCAGTTCAAAAAATTGTCATTCAGCAAAACATTACCTTTCGTATAAAAACTAATTGAATGTGTAGCATGAAAGAAATTTGTTCAAACAACGTCGTTATTCTTGTAAACTATAGACAACTTCTTTAATTTTCAAACAGATTTTCTTAATATTTAATCTAAACAACAAATTTTATTTCAGAAAATTAAATAAAAATAAAACACGAAAATTCATATCAGTTCATATGGCATTTAAATCTCTAATTACTTTTTCGATCTAGTTAAACACAAATCAAAATGCATGTATATGTATTAAAAATAAAAAAGAAACATACAGCTTTAGCAGTACTAGTTGGTCATAAAATTATATTTTGTGTAACTCAGCATTCATCTCGTCAATCCTAGGAAAATAGAATACAAAGAAAGTTTTTTTTCTTGTTTAATTTAATACTTTATTTGATGACCCATAAACAGTTTTTCATATTGAAGTGTACGAAAGTGTAATTGTCATTAAGGATTCAATAATATCAAATTTTACATGAAAAACTTTACAAATTTATACGAAACAATTTAATTGTACATGATGCATTTGAAGAAACCTTTCTTTCTCTGTATAATTCTCCTCATTAGCTCTCATAATAAACATTGGACCATCAGTTGATGCTACTGCAATGATACATTTTTCAGCGCTGTCTTGTAAATGACATCGATATTTTATCAATTGTTGTACTACAAGCATATTTTCATCCAAATTCAAACCTAAACACATAAACAGATACCTATATCCACTGGCCGGTCCTTCCTTCATACTTACAACTGTACCACCACACTCAGAATGAATAGTTCCATTCTTGTCTTTATGTGCTTGAGCTTCTGTATGATTGAATTGGCACAAACAAACAAGTAAACACTATGTTATTCTCGCAGAACGAATACTTGGTGTAAAATCTGTTTATGTCTCAGTAATGATTTAGTCAAAATCAAAACAAATTACTTCATTTTTATTTCTCATATGCAAGTAGAAGACTATAAAACTCATTGCTTTTCTTTTTCTAGAATAAATAGACGCATTTGAAGGCAAAAACATTCATAGTCATGTTTTCTTGCGTTTGTCAGTTATATCGAGCATGACTCGATCAACACCTTCATTTACAGCTTTTTCGATTGCTGTCTTGACTAATTTACATGCAGTCTTAGTTGCAATTGAGTTCATGTTTGCCGTTTTTTCATTAATTTTTGGTTCGAGACGTTCGTACACTTTTTCTGCAATTTGCTTCTTTGCTACGTCTGACATCACTTTTTCACGAGCCATTGCATTAACACGATCGGCATTTTTCTTCGGATAGTCTTTGTAGAGTAAATTTTTATAAGGATTGGGTGCCACTCGACACATTTTTTTTATAATTCGTTTCTGTTGGGTCTATTCATAAAAGATAACATAGTACAGTCTTATATTTTCAAACAGTTTCAATTTTTATATTATTTACGACGAAGAGAGACGACTTTTTCTCGGATAAAAGAGAAAATCTTCTCATTACGTATTCAAAAAAAAATCATATTCTTTAATTATATATGAAATGCAACTACTAACTGCATATGCATGAGGAATTGAAGCGACTCGCTCTCTGACTATTGTTTGTATCTCATTCATGAGGTCCGCATCGAGAATTGACATGCCATTGTCAGAAGAGCATCCACCCATTGCTAGCTATTCGTCAAACTTGAGCCTGTTTAGAGAAGAATAAAGAATAAAATGGTTGTATTATTCCTTATCGCAAATCTATTTATAATTCACTTCAATATACAAGTTCTTTTGTCTAAAATTCTTCTTCTTCCATGTAAATATTGACGTTAGTATGTAGTTATGTATGCAAACTGTCTGCACAAGATTGTTGCTACACATCATTCCTTTTTGTTGAAATGGTTTGTTCGGACTTTTTCTTTGTCAATGAGTGATGCACATCTCATTGTACTCTTATTAATCTATTTCACTAATGTTTAAAGACGTTGTCATAATATTTATTTGCAAGATATCAATTACTTCTTGAATAGATAATATTTAATGTTATTATTGTGAAATATCGAAAGAAAGAACTGATAGTACCTCGTTTATTTTCAATTGCTGTTGAAAATAGACGATCTGAACTATATTGTAAAAAAACAGTGAACAATAATAAGCCATCATCATCCGTTTATTACCATTAGATAAATTCTTTTTAGGTTTATGTGTGTAATCTATCTTGCCACAAACTTAAAAAAGGTTTACCTAATGGTAATAAACGGATAATAATAGTTTATTATTTTCCACCCTCTTTTTTTTTTACAATTCAGGCGAATATATCCTCTCTTATGCAATATAAGGCGCAAAGTTTATCTATAATCGACAACGAACAAAGTGCAAGTCAAAATATTACAGACAATTTTTATGTTAGAGCAATGAATTATCAGGGTAAGCTGAGAAATTTCGACAAAATGATTTACATAGTACAATTGTGATAGTTTTGATCGAATAAACTGATCTGTATATGTTGATAATACTTCCATGATTGACTCTTTCGCCGACAACTCCATATTTGATTATTTGTGAAAGCGCCTCACGGGTTGCCAGCAGTGCAGCAATTGGATCGGTTTCTTGAAAATTCGAGATTCTGTCATATTATATCAGTGGAAAAAAAAAAGATTAAAGAAATTCTAGTTCTTTGAGTAGTTCAATGTGGTTGAAATTGTTTAGAGCCCAAAATAGAGATACAATTTGATGTGAGTCAATCGAAGAAGACCTTTTCTTTATATCAAGTATTTATTATAAAAATAGCCATGCTTGTTTTTTAATTGTTGTGTCAATCGTAATGCATATTGAAGAGGTAAGTATATTTTTTGTACCTTGGTTTCATAAAGATAAGTAAGAATAAAAAAAATAAAAGTGAGCAACGAACAGACTTTTTATCGTTGTCGACTGTCGAACGAAGCTGACTATACATTTTTTTCAATTCTCAACAAATTCCAAGTGAAAATATTTATCATGTGATTCCTGTCGTTGAATGAAGAGTCGCGTATCAAATTGAGATTTTCTACGACTTTAAGAACAAATGTTTTGTGAAATGAGTCAACACAGTATTCTAAAAAGGTAACATACTTTTAGAATGTGGATATTAGTGACAAGAAGATCTGCATTCAGTCACACACACACACCATACCCTACCCATATCTACACCGACATCCAACACTCTGTTCTTGATTTAATCCATCAGCTGGATTTTGACAACCATGTAACGTAACCATAACATTGTCTTCAGTTTCGTTGAAAAATACAAGAAATCGCGGTTCAATAGCTTCCATTAGTGAAACAAGTTGCTTATCCTGGTAACCTTTTTAGGTGACAAAAGATTATCCAGAGGCTCATCGTAAAGATCAGTAAAACGCGTTCTGCGTACCATATTTCAGTGTCTTAGCCATGTGTTCTGTTTCAAAACAGAGTAGAGAAAAAAGGATTTGAACGTCAGCAATCTAGGAAAATAGATGTTCAATCGTATGAAAATGTTTATTGTAATATTTGACAGGCGAAAAACAGGATTCCTGTTTAAATGTTAATCCATTTTTAATAATGACGAAGTAAAAAATCCAATTTTCTCTAGACAGTTTCTTGAAAATAATTATAAGTAAAAAAAGGAAATACAATTTGTGTTAAGTACAGGAATCCTAATAGCAGAGTAAAACACTTAATTATACAACTATTGTACGTATTACTCAAGTTGCTGTTGCTTTTCGTGTTCGCTCTCGTGTTTTTGTTTCACTCAAAGGCATATCTTTTGCTAAGGAACTGGTCTGCAACAAAAACTCCTGTTCAAACATGCACGCCTAATATTCCAAGTAAAATTTTCATGACAGATATACAAATATACACAAGCGAGACAGAGTAAGAGCTTACTGGAAAGTGATAGATCTGGAAAAACTACCAAGAAACCAAGAAAGTTCACCTGTCATAGAAACAGCAGGAGATAGAAAGAAAACAATGATTGCATTGAAATATCTTTGAAGAAAATATGTCAGCATTTACGCATGGCATCAGAATGAAAGAAAATATAGATGAAACATATAAGCTGTGGTCAAAAATAAAGTTCTTATTTTGTCTAATCAGAATTGAAATTTTAAATTTGACTACAGCAGATAAAAGTAAGGCAAGACAAAAATACATAGGATGATAGACAATGTCACTCTCTATCAGAGTTTATAATTACTTTTTCAAAAATTTTATTTTCGTAGTAACTATAGTTCGTAGAAATGAGAAAAGTAGCGACTTTTGGTACTTGTCAATTGAGGGTGTGTTCTCTGTACTCAAATTGTTTTTCAATCTACAAATGCAAGAAAATATGTAAATATACAGTGATAAAGAATTTCAAGGTCTCTCAAAATATATAATTATTTTTTTTAAAAGACAATTCTATAGCGATGAAATATTTTAAAAACTAATTTTGATAACAGTGACAAAATCAAGTCTATGGAAATCTGAAGATGAGGCTGTCATCATCGCGCTCAATTTTTTTTGTTAATACATATGTGCAAACGAAAATACAAACATACAGTATGATAGAAAACTCCACGCGCTTTCAGAATATATCATTATTTTTTAAATATGTTTTTATAGTAACGATTTAACTGAAATACAGACTGCAGCTATCTTTTTCCGGGCGCATATATTATAGGCATATAAAGTAGACCTTTGTAGCAGCATTCTTTAGCATATACAATCTATTATATAATGCTGTGAAAAAATCTTCAGTTTCCAAGAAACTGGAAATTATCATGCCTTCAGTTTGAACAACAATCTGTGCTTTCCAGTATTTTAAAATGTCTTTTTGTAGGAGCAAATATTTCAAAAATGCATGTTTGTAACATGATAGATTCATGTATGGAATGAGAACGCAGACTAGAAAAAAAAATAAGAACGAAAGAAAACGAGAAGAAACAAGGGAGATTAAAAGTGCGTATCTGAAGAAAAAAAAATACAATGCCAAACGGTTGATTCTTCCTTAACCAACTTTGATGTTTATTGAAACAACATAGAGTGTAATTTTAACTAACAATGATTGATCCATTCACTTTTAGGCAAATTTGACCTTGAAAAGCAATTTCAGAATTAATTTTACTATTCCTGATCTTTCCTAAAAATTGTCCTCAGTATTTTCCCTGATTTTCAGATATATGCCGCTGCGACCACTAAAACTATTGAATGCATTTTTTAAACTAATCTTTCTTATGGCGCAAAATTTCAAAGATTAACCTCCATTCAATAGTCTACCTGCGTAGGTAAATAAAGCGCCAAAATTAATAGAAATATTTTTAAAACAATTCTGCAGAAATTTTAAGAGTGTCATGAAATTCTACAAAAATTCTGCATCGTTCGATGTGATCTTCAAAATTATATAATAAATATTGGAGAAGAAACGTTTTGCAGCTGAAAATGTCAAAACACTTCAAAAAAGATCTTTTCAGACAGGTTTATAATATTATGCTTTGTTAATGCTAACGATGCAGGAAAGTTTACCTGTTCAAATCGTTATTTACACCATTCTGTTCAGAATTAAATTCCGGATATACCGGCAAAAGCATCAGCGTTTCATAAGACAAGTCTGTCGTTGAGAAACATTATTTTGTGAAATGCATCCGAACATTGCATCAGACATTAGTTCGAAGGTTTTTTCTTATGAATAGAAGCACCAAAAGTCGTGCAAAGCTCTTGGAACTATAGAGCACAAATTTCTCTATCTAATGAGGTTACCTGCTTTAGTTTGAGTATCAACCTTGATGAGTACCGGCTTGAACATATCAATTGATATGTGGAAAGAATAGTGATTAGCAGAAGAACTATTGAATACGGTTTACTCTTTGAAATTTTGCGCTGACAATTAAGATTAATTTGCAGAACGCATTCAATAATTTTCTAGAGAAACGAATTCTCTATTGAATGAACTCATCGCTAGGTTTTAAAACGGTTGTTAAGTACCTTAAAGTTAGAAAAGATAAGTGCCCCATTATTTATTTCAGCCTCACCCGTTATAAGTATAACTATAAATGCATTAACTGTATACACATCATAATTTGCGTTATGTATGAAATGACGGGTGTGGATGTGGATGTCCTTAGTAAGAATGCACATCTACACCCATACCCCATACCCCATACGCATACCTATGCCTACACCCTTTTGACGCAATAAGTAAATCGGATATAATTTCTAATAGTGTAATTTTGAGATTTGGTTGATTAAAGAGTACATGTATTCCCTTATTTGTGTATATCATTGGTGAAAATATGAAGATACTCAGCTTACTTCCTTAATCCTCTTTTTGGCGAAGAAAAAAAGAACTAGAAGCAAATACATGTGCTTCGTTCTTAAAGAGAAAAGAAAATTTTATTATGCCTGTAGCTTTTTTCTCTTATCGTATATTATTTGAAAAAAGCTTCGAAATGTGGTAGAATTACTCTGTTATGTTATCATAACGCAGAAACAATATAACAACGCGTAGAAAAAATTGTGATTATCATTGTTATAGTAATATATTAAACAACGGTATGAATCGATTCATTCGTTTTGAATATAATGATAAAAAATTACGACATATAGATGATTGTAAAGATGAATCAATTTTGTCAATAGACTTAGCTCTTCAATCTGTTTTGTCCATCGTTGACAGATTGGATCATTATATTGAAGACGCTAAACGCTCTCGTCATTACCCTTCGGATCATGGTCTCACTGAAGACGAATCAGTCGCTATATATCTCTACGCAAATGACTGGAATGATCAAAGTTTAAATAAGGTTTTGAACAATACATTACAATCAGAAGATCACACAGCTTTACAATCATGGCTAAGTTTTCTGAAATTATTCAATGCGGCACTGGAAAAATTATCGACTGTTCATAATACAGTATGGCGAGGTTTAACAATTGATGCTGCAGAAAAATTAAATGAAAATGAAGATTTGATATTATGTAGTGTAATTTCATGTTCATCGTCACGTACTATTATAGAACATCTTCTTGATGACAAATCAGTTCTTTGCTCAATCAAATCATTCAGCGCCAAGAATATTCAGGGTTATACATCTAAAAATGAAGAGGATGAAGTAATATTGCTTCCGGGTACACGCTTGCGTGTGAAATGCAAACAGTTGAACAATGATCTAGATAAACCGATTATATATTTAGAAGAAATCAACGAAGTTGAAGATGACCACGAAGTTATCAACAAAGTTAAAATGCATGATATGAATAACCCTCTTGATCAGGAAGATACAAGTGAATTTCTAATTCATTTCAGTATTTTCATCTCTAATATAATAACTTTGATATAGACGATGTTCAACATTCGCAAACAACACCTTCGATATCGATTCATGAGATAAACAACGAAACACGCTTAAGTACGCATGACTAAAAAATAATCGTAGAAATGATGAATATTAAATCCTTTTCAGATGAAGTAAAATCAAAGAAAAATATCATTCATGCAGTAATTACTTTTTCTAATGGTGATCGATATGAAATAGTTTACGAAAATGATAAGAAGCACGGTTACGGGAAGTTTTATAGTATTGACGGAAAAATAGTTGAGGGCCCAAATGCTGACCAAAAGGCAAATGGAGAAGGAATATGTGTTTTTGAAACTGGTAACCGTTTTATTGGAGCATACAAAAATGGTAATAGGTATGGCCATGGCATTCTTCTTCGTGAGAATGGAATAATAGAAGCTTGTGATTGGATTGATGATGTGCAAATAGGTCAAAGTCTAAAAATACAGTCAACCCGTGGGCTTTATGAGTGGAAGGATGCGATGGGCAAAGAACGTTGGTATCGTGCTTATGATGATGAACATGGAAATAGATATATAGGAAATATAGCCTATGACAAAGCACATGGACTAGGTATACGATTTTGGCCAAATAATACTCGATATGAAGGTAATTTCATGGATGATAAAAAACATGGATATGGTATTTACTTTTATACTGATCGGGATCGATACATGGGTGAATGGTATAATGACGAAACAAATGGAAAAGGGCTGCTAATTTGGAGTAATGGTACTTATTATCAAGGAGAGTTTACCAATGGGAAGAAACACGGTTATGGAAAAGTAATTTTTGCTGATGGACAAATACAAGAAGGTGAATGGCGAAGTGACGAGTATGTCGCTTAAGTGTATCATCAATTGCGTAGTTTTAATCAATGAGGTAGTGGTTGAAATGCACCGTCTACCAAGATACGCTCGATAGTTTAATATCAGTGCATTTAAATGAAAAATAAACGAAATTTTATTTAGATCTGGAATGTTTATTCCTGAAATCAGATTTGAATATAAATACTTTTCGTTCTGAGACGAGCTTCTTCAAGGCAAGGATGCACATGAACACTAATAAGAGAAACTTGAAAAAGTAAATACATTTTGCGAGGCTATAAACTATAGTTCTAGTAAAACGATTTCATTTTAACAACAGATAAATAAATAAATGTCGATAAAAATGCTGAATTCTGATACAAACTAGTGTTTGCACAACAGAATAGAAGAATTTTATAGATCAATGTGGAATCGCTTTGGCTACACTGTTTGACAAACACGAACATTTTTAACGTCGAGATGAAGAATTTCAAAAAATTCAAGTTATATTTCCGGTAGACCTCAATAGCATGTTGATAGTTTATATGCAGGTATTTTCAAAGATAAAAGATATAGACGATTTCGACATATTTTTTTTTTAAATTTCAAAATCTTTGTTTGAATATGTGTGCTATTATTCTATATTTATGTGAAGCAATTGTAAATACTTTAAATTACTTGCATGTTTATCGATGAGATTCGACGATTTCAAAAAGATTTTGTCAAGCAACACTGAGTTCTGTTGAATCATGCAAGACATCATTAGATGCTATCTATCTATTAGATCAAAAATTTATAACCAATGGAAGAGATTAATGTTACACTTCTTATACTGAAAATCAATCATGTCATGAATCCATGATCGGTTGTTGAAATGTTAGGCCTCATGATGGTTAATTCTGGTAACGAGTACACGACTACAGTATTGAAGCTTGTGGAATTCAGAACTTGTTCAAGGCCGTCTTTATGCAGATGTCAAGAGTCTACGATATCAATTATTGACAAGCTGACACTGTTTTAACAAGGGTGTAAGCGTGGGTGTGAATCCGTAAGAACAAATATTCATGTGGAACACCTACACCCAGACTCCCACTAACACCCACACTCTTTCGTGGGATGCTCACGGATCTTGTTTATCGTCAGAATCATCAAAAAGATTCTGTGGAACTCCTTTTTTTTCCAGAGAAGAACACTGCTCATGAATGATTATATGTCATCGAATTACAAAATGAAATTCGATCGATCAATCCTTGTTAGTGGAAAATTCTTTTCTAATTAATAGGATAGCAGAGTTTTGAAATAATATTCGATGTAAAATAACGCACTACTAGCGGTTTTCCTATAGAACATCAAAAGAAAATTATTTCGTTAGGTCATTACAACGGAGTTGCGAGATACAAATGTAATGTACTCGTGTATGCAAGCATCAGTGTATACTTTCTGATCGTACAACACGAAATGCAAAATATGATAACAAGAAAGGGAGAACGCTGAAAGAACGAAAAGTATGCAATGGCAAGCGCATCATGGCAAACTATACTACTTACCGGATGAAAATGTCATACTCCATTGATTCATGTAACCACGTCTAACTGACGTGAGACAAAAACAAGTAATTTCATCAACGATAAATATGAAGCAAAAATCAATTGTAAACGTGCAAAATCAAATGCAAGGACTCCACTATCGCGTAGCAAGTACGTATATTTGATTCCTAACATTGTTAGTTTATTAATAAATGTAACTTTAACAAGTCAGAACAATTTCAAACAACAAAACATGTGAGAAGATATAGAACTAAGCTATCTTAATGGCCAACGAGTCATTTCAAAAAGCTCCGATTGAGAATGTTCAGGATATGTAATCCATAGTCTTAATTGTAGGAGCTTTTACACATAAAAATAGTGTTAATGCAAAATATGCCAATCACACTGAACTTCAAAGTGCTTACATACCATCGAGAATTATGGCAGTAGGCGTACGAATTTCAGTCTTAGGCAGCTAACATAGCGACGAGGTAAAAAACTGCTTATAGAATTTTTTTAATCATGAAGAAACATCATTATTTATTGACTACATGATTTTCTAGTGTGTTGAGCTCTATGCTACAAAAGAAGTGAGGAATAACATGAGACTTTTTCAAAACTTGCACATTACAGAGTTCTCTATGGTTCACACCTAACGTTTTTCGACGCAGGCGAAACTCATTAGCAACTTGCAAGAATATCCCCTAGAACAGCCTAATTTTCAATATGAACTGGGCGGTATACTGAAGACATTAATACAAAATTGAACGGCGTGATTAAAATTTTTTACGTAGCACAGCATCACTGATAAACTTATATTAATAACTCCATTATAAAGGAAGAAGAATTTTTCGACCTTCATACCCTTAGAATCGACACAGTGCAAATTTTTAGAAAGTTTCCAGCTAGTACTCACTATTTTTGTGGTACAGTGTTGAACACGACTAGAATATCATATAAGTCAGGAAAACATCTAGACATAAAATAGAAAAAGTATTTTGTTTAAGTATGAAGAAAGAAAGAAATAAAACTATTTTTTATAACAAAATTAAGAGCACCTATCACTGTATCGAATTGAGTATGAGAATAGTATTTGCAGAAGTTCATTCAAGAACATGTTAGGTGTTTCAATATCTATGAGCAGGGATGTGCTAAGCCTGGAGTGACTCACAATATTGAAAACTTTTTCTTTTTTTCCAAAACGTTCCAACAATTCATTGGTTTTTTTTGCATATCGATCGATTTTCAAAAAACCTTCGAATCTGACTCCACTTTCCAAATCCTAGCGATCTCGAGACACTTGTATCTATGAATACCATATATATTCCTAAAGGATCATCAGTAGTATATGAACCTTCATCACATCTAAATGCAAGAAGAACGTCACTTTTTATATAACATTCGATGTACTGCAAATTGTTTTGCAGAGCTAATATATGATATCTTAATTGAAGACAGACCACTAAATAGGACGGGTTCTTTTCTTCTGACATCCATATTTATTTCTTTGGTTCATCTAGACTTGTCAGATTTGACGAACTCCTTTCTTTTCGTTTTCCAGGACACCCTTGATGGATAAGTCCAACCAGAAGGCTAAATCCGATCAGGGTGTGGGTGTGAGGGTGGATGTTTAGTGTAGGCGTGAGTGTGAGCGGATGCGGTTCTTTCTCTCATATACCCGTATACACACCCACACCAGTGGCGGATCCAAAAAATCAATGAGGGGATGGCAGTTTGCTGAACGGGCTGACGGTCATGGTCAAAAACCAGTTTTTGAAGCCTATTCAAGGCAACATCAGTGCTTTTGTTTTTATTTCTGCTGATGAAAAATGGAAAAAAATTGCGCGAGGGGTGGCGGTCGCCGAAACGCCGTACGGTAGAGCCGCCACTGACCCACACTCACACGCACCCTCTAGTCGTTTTCATCTTTGAAATATAAAACGAACAAACTTTTTTTGTTAGGTGGTTGGTTAATTTTGACGGCCACTGTATATCGGCAGAGGAAAAATTAACAAATCTCAATAAAATCCATCTATTTAAAGATGCCACTGTTATCACATTAAGTACGTTGCGACTCCAAATTGCAATTGAATACAATATTAAAAAACCAATATAATTTACATTATAATCCAATTCACACACTGCTATTATCACTTTCAATTGTTGAAATCTCCGAGAATTTGAGAATGCATACATACAATTTTCTAGCAATTACAATGAAATATATCGGTGCCGCTAGTCTCTCAATATATTCAGACAACAGAGACTTTATTGAAAAATCTAACCAATATTAAACTTTAACATCTTTTTAATAAAATGCATTATATTATTCTTTTACCATATTGAAAACACAATTATTCTATAAAAAATGAAACTAAAATAAATATTAAGCAAAAACTATTAATACTCAATAATACTCAAAATTATACAAAAAATTTGACAAATTTCACAAACGGATATTAATCACAACCAATGGCAATAAAAATCATATATATGTCACTACTATCCATTTCAAAATAGAAGAAGGGTTAGTGTAAGTTGAATAACTCTAGAACGCAAGTAACTATCGAGGTCGGGTTTCCACCATCATGTAACCAACAATAGAGCACGTAGCCCTATGTAAATACCAAAATTTTCAAGAAGGTCTCTAGGGAATTTACAGGTGGGTCTTTGGAAGACCAAATCGATTTTTAGGAATCCAATGTTGGATTTTTATTTTAAATATGTATTCAATAGAAAAAATCGTTCTCTTTCGAGTTACGCCAACCCAATGTTTCTGACTTGTTCCGCTCAGAAGTTTTAATGGTTTTCCAGAAATCCAGGGTTTTGGCTCACTGTCCCTGGATCAACGGAAAGCAGATCTAGAGAGGGGCAATTGACCACACTGAGTCGGGTGATGATGTTTGTTTTCACTTTCAAAACTATCTAAATTCACAAGCTGAAAGTTTTCGAAATATCGTCACTTTCCTCTACAAAGGGGAAACAGTTGGATCTGGAAATCTTTGAGCTTGTGACTTTAGATAGTTTTGAAAGTGGGAACAAACATCATCACTCGACTCAGTGTGATCAATTACCTCTCTCTAGACCTGCTTTCCGTTGATCCAGGGACACTGAGCCAAAACCTTGGGTTTCTGGAAAACCCTTAAAACTTCTGAACCGAACAAGTCAGAAACATCGGGTTTGCGTAACTCGAAAGAGAACGATTTTTTCTATTGAATACACGTATTTAAAATACAAATCCAACATTGGATTCCTAAATATCGATGTGGTTTTCCAAAGATCCACCTGTAAATTCCCTAGAGACCTTCTTGAAAATTTTGGTATTTACATAGGGCTACGTGCTCTATTGTTGGTTACATGATGGTGGAAACCCGACCTCGATAGTTACTTGCGTTCTCGAGTTATTCAACTTACACTAACCCTTCCTCTATTTTGAAATGGATAGTAGTTACCAACGATTGCCCACAAGACTTTATAAATAACTTCTTATTTAATTTTCCTCTTTCCTTTTTTATNGTCGTCAACGACAACGGCCGTTTACGACAAAATATGACAAGAAACGATGAACGTTGATTGAACCGTTTACCACTGACGTATACGATGACTTACGACTTTGTTCGATAGTCGTTTACAGTCGTCGTATTTTTACGGGAGTCGTAAACGCTGTGAGTTTACGTTAGTCATTTACGAAGGCCGCAATAGACCGTAATGCATCGTTTACGATGGTTGTAAACAGCTACCGTACACGGCTGCCGTTTTCAACCGTATTTGACTGTGTACGGCCGTTTACGGCCGGGCATCATTCACCTGGGTTGTTTCACCTAATTACGTGGGCGGTAGTATGTTCTACTAATTATAATTGTATAGGGTTTATATTTAGCATATACATTAAGTTGGAAAGTTGTTTTAGCCTTAGCATTATGATAAGTTTTGCACTTTATATAAATTCGTTTTCCTGAATTATAAATTTTGGTGCAATGCTTGATTTAAGACATCAAACTTTTAAAACACTAATGCACAAGTGCCGCACATAAAAAACTTAGAGTTTTTTTTTTTTCATATTGAATTATTGAGAAGGACAATGGAATTCAGAAAATACGATTAGTATCGTTGGTTTCGTTGCTGAAAATGGAAAATTACAAAAGTCTATCATTTTATTAAACTTTGTAGTAAGTGAAATATTTCTGTATGATATTATGTTTAGATTCATTTAAAAACTAACTGTTGTTCCATGCACTTTTATGATAATAAAAAACAATGGTTAGAAATTCTCGGATTACATTCGAATTAGTAATTTCTATATTTGTAGGTTTGTGTCATTATATTTGTGAGAATGCTTAAATTCTTTATTAATTTAATAAGCTTTCAGTATCAGTTATATTAAAAAGCAAATGAATAGATTATTGCCGACGCTAACAATAACGAAAATTCAATCCACTACTCTATTTCACTCTTCAACCTAGGCATATTTCGTGATATGTCTGTCTGTACTAGGAATGAGGAATTTATATTTACAAAATTTTATTAAATCCCGCGGAAATTCGACTAATTGAAATTTACTTTAAATTTAAAGTATTGTGAATTTAAATTTACGAACTTTTATTTTGATACACCATCGCGGTGGGTTTTGCTTTTCATAGTATCACGATGCGACAGCGGTGCGATATCATGTTTTGAAGACAGTGGTGGTGCCGTAATGGTAGATTTTGAGCCACAAGGGACATCTCTGGAGCACGCGCACTTTCTAATAGAAAAAAGAAATATATTGAACACATATAAGCAAGTTACACTTCCAATCCAAGACAGAAAACAATGAAGCAAACACAGTCCATCGAATGCTTTCCTACAGGTAGTTCAGATAAAATATGTTTTGCTCTCTTCGATGAGACATGTCATAAAAAGAAAAATAACACTCATTCACGTGGATCTACTACCTACTGATATTTAAGCAAAGTTAGAAATATTAATTTCGTGGTGGCCTGGGTATTTTTATTGATGCCTGGAACAACAAAGTCAGCAAACATCAAAGTGTATGGAAGCTTTTTGCGCATTTTTGGATGTTAGCATCATTTTAAACTCTAATACCTATATTCTAGATAACTTTTCAGAAGATATCTAGACATCACATCAATAACTGTTCGTTAGCCACGTTTACATAATATCAGCAGCTTTCCATGTAGATGTACATATGAGTTAGGATGCTGCAGATTGCAGAGAAATGTGTAATGTCCACATCAACATTCCCATATGCATTCACTGCTACACCGTCCGTGTAATCCTTTCTTAGACACATACTATTCAATAGAGAGAACTTTTTCTCTATATCTATTTATTTATTAGTTTAAATAGTTATATTATTAGGTATGAGTAAGATCTGAGAAGCCAGCTACACGTCGTGCTTTGCATTTAAAGAGTTGATGATATATTCGAATGCTTTGGTATTTGATGCAAAAATCGTAGATAGACCGATATTGGCAACGTTTGTTTGTATTGTTGTTCGAGCTCTCTACTCAAACGGTCAAACATAGGCCAACACTCTTGTTGTAGTCGACATAGTTCCCATAATTCATAGAGCTCACTACCATTCATATTTTCAGTTAATAAAATCATTATATCCAGTTTCTTATCAAAAATAAAATCTCGAACATGTCGTTCAGACCATGATTCAATAGGAATTTGTTGATAGTCCGTAGGGATAACGTTCGGACGAACAAGTAGATTCGACATCAATGGTGAAGGTGCAACTGTACTTTGTAATCCAAGAGAATTTGTTCTAGAATAGATCATGACATGAGATATTTCTTTATCAAAAAAAGACAATATTGTTGGAATACACTACGTTTCAACTTTAGTGACTTGTTTAGTCGTCTTCTTGTCCATCTCATTTCGTTCGATTTCAGCTTTCAATAATATGATACTCTTTTCAAAATTTGATCTTCCGAAATCAATATACATTTTATCGACAGCAATAAATCCAAGCCAATCATCTAATTCAACTTGTGCCATTTTTAATGGAATAATTGTCTTCTTTCTATCCCATGCATATTCAGCTTCATTACGACAATTTTCACTTTTTTTATATGTTTCAGACATACACATGAGAATAACACTTGATTTCTCAATGATCTGTGCCATAGATCGGCATAATGAACCAGTCATTTCATTTTCATCTAACCATACTCGGTAATTATAATTTTCCGTTAAATATTTATATATTTGACGCACTAATGGTTTATCACCCCAACTATAGCTAATCATCAAATCGAATTCGTTTTTGTTGGTCGATATTGTTTCTTGTTGTGTTTTTTTAAATTCATTCTCCGTTTTCAATTTCCAAAGAACACTATCTGCAGCTTTTTTCAGACCAGGATTCATTGTTTTAATTTTACCTTCAGCCAAATGCTGAATATAAGTCATAAAGCGTGCATTGTTCTTTAACAAGTATGCTGCTTCCGCATCAAAAGACATTGTAAAAAAACATTCTAATGCCAATTGTTGTCCTTCTTCTGTCGCTTTTATATTAGCTCCATATACTTTTTGTAGTTCTTCTGGCAATTCATTACTGCTATATAAATCATCCATATCTACTGTTTCACCTATGCATTCTTGTATGTCGAGAGCAAAATCTATCCATCTTGATTTTTTCATTGCTATTTCCATTAATAATGCTAAACCTTGATGACGAATGAATTCACTTTTCAATTGATCGTGTTGCAGATATGCTACAATAAAAGTACAAAGAAAATAAAGTATTTTGTCAAAGATTTTTTCTCCAGAGCGACTATTCAAAACATCGAGGAGGGCAGTCTATAGTCTTGTACTTTTCTGGTTTAAATACTCAAAAATAACCATTCCAATGGCATTCACATGGTTGTGATATTGATATAGTATTGGAGTAGCATGTTGAAAAATTTTGACAAAAAAAATATGATTAAAATCGAATCGTTTTAATCGACTGGAAACAAGGTTCGTTGCAAAAAATTTTCATATAGATTAAATGAAAGAAACAACTTCGATTACCCAAAAGACATAAAATTGGAATATATGTTTTATTCAGTTCGAACTATCGTATTTTTCAAAAAGTTTGTCGTCTTAACTTAGCATAAATGCATATCTTCATATGAATATAAACACTCAGTTACGAACGAGTTATTTACTAAAGTTTATAAGAAACATACCCTTTAGTGTTCTCAATAAAGTCAACAAATCTGTTAAATAGAGGCTATCTTCAATGACTTCTTCATGAATATTACGTATATAAGTTATTAATGCCATAATTATTTCTTTTGTAATGCTTGGTTCATTTTGAATATCTTTTTCGTCGAATAATAATCCCAAAATATTATAGATATATACTTTTATGGAAGTATACTCTTTAATTTGACTCAATAATTTCAATAAAATTTCTTTGACGCTTTTATCATGTTTTATATAAGCAAGACAATCTCCATTTGCATTAATAAACATTAGAATTAATTTTAATATTGTCCATGTAACGAATGGAATAGTAACACCGTCTTTAGTATTATTCGAATAATTTTTATTTAGTTGAAATATTTTTTTCTCAGGTTCATCATTATTTTTCATAAGATTTTTAAGAATGTATGAATTAGAAAACCAAGGCAATAACATCATGATTATTGGTAGATATTCGTCTTTTAATGCAAAATTTTCTATTTGTCCTTTCGAAAACATAAAATTACTTTCGGTTTTTCGTTGCATTTGAATTAGATTTGTTATTAAATATTTGATTGCATTCAATCGTAGAAAAGTTTCATTAATTTGTTCTGTTGTTTTTATTAACATTTCTTTTAGTATTTGTTTATATTTGGATAACCAAAAATCACGACAAAATTTTGTTCGAAAGTCTTCCGTATAAAGATTATTGTTTATAATAAAATTAAAGCTATCAAATAATAAAAATTTACTGCGTTCATTTAATGATATTGAATCAAGTTGATTTATAGCTTCTAAATAATCATGAGAACCTTCCGATGAATTGATGCATTCAACAAATGTATCAAACAATTGCTGATTTTCTTCAGTAAGTCTTTCCAATGATAAATTCACATTTTTGGAAAACTTTAGACGTATGATGTTGATTTTATGACGTCTAAGTAAAAAACCAACAACTTTACTCATGATTTCGAAATCATTTTTCATGATTTTCCAACCAGCAGACTGAACTAATTTTAAAAATGAATCATTTAATGGAGCTATTTGTCCACATAATTTATCTAGTATACTAATTGTTGCTTCGTCAGGAATACTAATATCATCATTTGTATCATTGTCCTCTTCCTCGTCGTTCTCTTCTTCATTGCCTAGAGACATGCTATACGCTGATCCAAATACTCTTGTAATAAAATCAAGACATTCATCCATTAAAACAACTTCATCATTAGATAATACATTACTAGTTAAAACAAGTTTTTCTATAAATTTAGTCAATCGATCATAAACTAATGAAACAATTTTATGGGGTAAATGAGATAAGTAATATGAAGAAAGTGGCCAATGAAGTGTTGATAATGCATGAATAATTTCATGACTAGTATCTAGAGAAAATCGTGCGGCATAGTCATCGAATAAAGATTTTAATTGCGTAGAAGATATTGTTTCATCATCTAAGTTTGTTTCATCATCTTGTAAGTTTAAGTCTTCATTAGTATCAATTGACGACGGCATGAACTAAAGTTTATCTAAAAATGTAAAATGACTGAAATAAACACCATTTAAAAATTGATATGAGATATTAACTACGTTAACTTCGACCATATCTTACTGGAAATTCACTTTGACGAAATTTATTATCGAAAACTTTCGAAACACATGTGTGAAGAAAATCGAAATATAACAGCTTAGAATGGGAGTGTGGGTAAAATTTATTAAAGTAAAGCAACATGTCTAAATCTATATATTCATTCAAAGAAGAAAACAAAATATTATTAAAAGTGATAATTGACAAGATTTATCTAATTGATTATTGAAAGAAAACATTACCAGATGATCAAAAAGTTTGTAACAGTGAAGTACTTACAAAAAAGTCTATGAATTTTAAATTGTACCAAAACTTACTACTTTGATGGTCGTCAATAATATAAAAATGAAATCGTTGAGAAACAGTACATTTTCTTTCGTCTTCATGAAAACAAAATATTAAAAAAAAAAGCACAAAAGATGAAACTTGCATCAGTGATCATTCAAGCCTATCGATCATGACAACAGGCAAAGACACTGAAATAAGTCTATAATATGTGGCAAAAATAATGTAATTGAGAGAGCATGCAAAGAGAAGGCTCAACACAAATAAAATATTATATCAACCTTGACAACCTATCGTTAGGTTGATCATGCGTGATTTTTGTTCTCTTCGCTTGCTTTCGTATTCAATTTTATCTATTCAATTTGTCTCGTCACCACAAAATCGAAACGATACGTCAGTTAGAACCAGAAGAGAATGAAAAAAAAAAGGATGAGTAGTTAGCGCACGTGTTACGTTTTTGGGGAGCAAGAAAAACATGAAAAGAAACACTATGCACGGTCTCTTTCACCATTTGTCACCTGCTTTCATGGGTCGTTCAATTATTACTTAAGTAAATTTTTGGCAATTTGGACTTCTGAACCGTCCACTTCCCTCTTGATTACATCATCATTAGAACAAATGAAACTGCAAATAGATCAGGCATCTTTCAAACCACAAATTACGCAACTAAAAATGCATATTCAGTAAGAAAAAGTATCAGTTTAAGATCAATGAGGCTTATTCTGGTTTTAAATTTACTTTTTCGGATTGCCAATTTAATCATAGTTCTAAAATCAAGTACTTGTATAAATGACGAACACCGCACCAGCTACATAATATGATGCAGATTGAATCACAGGTTACAGTGATGCGCGCGGACACCAATTTTCAATTGTGCTTTTTATTTCTCGTAGGAAATACTTCTTTTAATTGTTGAAAGTTAAAAGACTATAAACTAAAACTAAATATTAAAACTTTGCTAGTTGTTGCTCTATATCTGTTTTTCTAGATATTCTACATGATCAATATTGATAAAACACTTCCTTACATTTCTTTTTAATACAACTTATTATTTGCTAATTCATGCATATCTCTTTGATACAATAATATATTTTTATAAGTCTCAGTGACCTTCTCTTATCCTATTAGAACATTCTTATTGTATCAGAGTTATCTTCTCTGCTTAAAATAACTTTGTTTTTCAAAAATAAACTGGCATTTTTTTGCTTTTCTAGATTCAACTTGTTAGAAGACTTGCACATTTAGAAAGATATATTGATTGAAAAACAAAATGTTACGACGACCAATGAGCTACGAGCCAAATATTTTAATATTATCGATCAAAACCTTGAAAAGTAATAATAAACTCTAATTTGAAAAATATAGATCGAAATTTAATTTAGTTAGACCATGAATATTTTCGTCTCGACAGGTAGTTACTAACAATTTAACACAATGCAAGGAGTGAGCCATGTTGCTCAGTGAAACGTTTATGTATAGTACTTAGGGCAATCCAAAAGTAGTGGCGGAGGTATTTTATTTTCTTATAGAAAACTTTAAAACAATTTCTTTTTTTTATGAACAGATAGAGCGACTTCCAATCTATTTTTCCATGCTATTTGATCATTATTCAACTGGTATTATAATAATAAAATTTCGATAAGATCTGTTTCATTCACATGTTTGTTGGTAGCATGGACATGAATGCTCATTAGTATTTTTTGAATAAAATTTGATAAAAACAAGATAGAGAACTGCGGTTTTCACCGTTAGAAAAAGGAGATGAAAATGCATCGAAATATGTATTATTGACTTTTCTAACTTGGTTTTTGTAAGGTTTTCAATTGACGTTTCAAAGAACAAACCTATCCTGTGAGTTGTCAACAGTGAATTTTCAACAATCGGGTTCATATTCAAACCACTAATTGAAGATATACAAACTATGAAAGACTCACATATTTAAATTTAATTATTTATAGGTAATAAATATTCTAGAAGGACGTCTACTACGATTTTCTATCAGCTTTTTTGCTTTTTCTTTTTTTATAAAAAAAAACACTTTTTGAACCGTTAGAAAATTGAATAAAAAAAAACTTCAAAAATCATATTGGAAAAATCAGTAATATACGGTTCGATGCATCTTCATCTCCTCTTTCCAACGATGAAAATCGCAGTTCTCTATCTTATTTCTATCAAACTTTATTGAAAAAATTCTCACGAGCATTCTTGCTACCAGCAC